ATCTGCTGCCTAGCTAATCTCAACTCATGCTCTAATTCAGAAACCCGCAATCAAAATATATCAATATCCTTCATATCTGAATCTACGTATGAAACAGCACTGACAGGACTAACAGACCTAACATTTTCTAAAGAATTTAAATGACCCACAGCCCCCAGTGACTTGCCGGGTTACTTTCTGTTGGATTCCAGTTTCCTTGGTTCCTCGCCTGGGCATCTTTGAAATACTTTTCTCGTTTGATTCCAATTTGAGTACTGTACGTCAACCAATTCGCACTTGAGTGACGCGTAGCCGAACCGATATGAATCCCGAAGTAAAAACACAATTGATCCGCAATGTTCTGCGGTAGTGAATTAACGAAATCANCAAATATGCGGCCGAGAGCACTCAAGCAAGCAAGCCAAATCAGATGTCCAGAGAGAGGCAAACAGTCGCTCGCGTTCTGTTCCCACGCAAAATTCAAACGTGCTGGGCATCGAATTAACAGATAAATAATAATGTATGTTGTTTGTGATCGAGAAATGTCAATATAAGAGCAACACACAGATAAAGTTATCTCATCATAAATTATTATGGGTTTGGAAGGATTTGCAAAATATTCAGCATGAAATACAGCGAGCACTGTTTGTAGTACTCTCAATAGGTTTTCATTCTCCTGTCCGCTTGCGAAGGACCTCGGTAGACATATGCAATACACTATGTGTTTGTCAAAATTTGCGAAACAGGACGTGACCTGGATATTGTTAAAATCCATTTTAAACGGAGCCACTGAAATTCCATGATTTTGATGTACTAGGATGGCAGCCCAGCCCCCTTATCTTCCATCCGTCCTGTCCTAACTGTAGGTTATATAGTTCCCGATCTGTGCAGCTACATTATTAGAGTTCAGCCAGGTTTCGGTGACGGCAGCTACGGCACATCCTATTACTCTGGTGGCCAATTTCCCCCACTTTCCCTGGATGCTGCAAGCATTTGTGTACCATTTAACAACAGTCCGATAGTGCAGACGGATTTCGGTGTTTCCCCGCGGAGTGTTTTTTGGTTATACCGACTCGGTCATTATTTCTTTGCGGCTCAACGCTTCCATCGTGGTGTAGTAAAGGGTGATGCATGCAATTTTCTTGACCACCGTTGGTTCGGTTTCTGAAAAGGGCTGCTCTGTGGGTATTGCTCAGGCACACAACGCAGGACCGTCCTTTCAGATATTGTACAGCGGTCCATCACCTTCATTGCCAAAAACTCTGTGTAGGTTACAAGCCTGTGTATACCTGAGCACAGTTTGCACTTAATCGGTTTGTGTGGCTCATATGAAATGGAATTGGTGCTCGCCTTGTTTTGTGGAAGATGGAGACCTCGAGATCCAGATAACGCAAAGCTAGTTGAATGTCTGGCGGTCCTGATGCTTTCTCTCGCTAGTTGACCGAGCCTACTGTTTGCTATGCGAGATTGACTGCTTGTGAATTCAGTTAGTTCGTCAAAGGTTGCTTCTCTATTCGCTTTCTCGATTCGATCGGCCTTGGTCGCCCAGGCTGTCTGAAGTTCGGCAGGCAACCATCTGACTTAGTCATAACGAGGTACGCGTCAGATGTAAGCGAAATAAAACTAGAAGAACCATTGGGCAAAAGTGATCATCTGGTTTTGAGATTCCTGCTTACAGAAAAGAACAGAAAGCCAGAAGCCTCACTGGTAGGATGCTATAGTCGTATAAATGAGGTGGCCTTGCGTGAAGCAGCGGAGCAGGTCATCTGGACATCAAAATCCCCGGAGCTCACAGTGGAAGAGAGATGGCGTCAGATCCAAGTAGGTATATGCCGACTTATGGACGAGTTTGCTCCTTTACGTCCCAGGCGTGTAAAGCACAGGCCAGTGTGGTGGCGGCCCAAGCTAGATAAGACACTGAAATCGGCAACGATGTTGGGCAAATTATCGAATGTGTGCACGCATCAGGCATGGTGTCAATACAAGAAGGCTCGTAATAAGGCACAGGCTCTACAGCGAGAAGGAATGTATATATACGAGAGGAAACTGGCACAGCACATCAAGCATAATCCCAAAAGGTTTTATGACTACGTGCGAGCCAACAAAAATATAAAATAAAGCGTGGGCACCTTTGAGATGAGTGGAGGTAGCTTGGTCACATCAGACCAAGACAAGGCAACCACCCTTTTAGACTTGTTCAAGATTATATACCGTCAACTAGTGCAAAGGAATGTTGTGTAGCCCATTGCATCGCGGTTAGATACACCAACGATTAGTGAAATAATCATCCATGAGAGTGATGTAGCCAGAGAACTCGAGTCACTAAATCGACATAAGGCTGCAGGGCTGGATGGAATACACCCTGCTATAGTTCGACCACTAGCAGGGCTTCTGGCACATCCGGTTTATTTCCTTTTTGAGCAATCCCTGAGGACGTGGGTGTTACCAGAGGATTGGCGTAAGGCAAATGTTGTTGCTATATACAAGTCAGAACCTAGGCATAAGGTGAGCAACTACCGACCAGTTAGCCCGACATCCGTTCTGTGTAAATGCTTGGAACGGATCATCGGGGGGAAAATATGCCAGCGCCCAACCACCCACAACCTCTTGGCACCAGCGCAGTCTGGCTTAAAACAAGAGAAAATCGTGCCTGACTAACCCGCTTAACTTTTCGATGAGGTTACTGAAAGGCTGGATAAAGGTCAGCAGATCTAAGTCTGCTACCCCGACTTCTGCAAAGCCTTCGATTCAGCCGGCCATAAATTGCTAGACCTCAAGCTACAAGATGCAGGATTACATGGGGCAGTGAGAAATTGGGTAATGCAGTTCCTCAGTCATCGCAGGTTCTGTGTGAAGGTTGGCGACTATCTAAGCGAACCTGAAAGAGTAATAAGCGGGGTGTCTCAAGGATCAGTTCTAGGACCACTACTTTTTTCAACTTACATCAACAATTTGACACAGGATCTCCAAAATTCCGGTTTATGTTCTCGGACGATGTGTAATCAGCTGAAACAAATCTAGAGTGCGATGTAGAAGCGGTTAAACAATGGTGGCTTTGTGGGATTTATCGTTAAATCTCGAAAAGTGCCAGGTCTTAACAGCAGGAGCTGATACCGTTAGGGACGGGCAGCTGGCACTGCAGCACACGGAGGCAGTAAAGGACTACAAAGCCATTCTCACGAAGAGTTTCAAGCCCGAAACACAATGTCTAAAGGCAGCCAATAAGGCTCGTGATGAGCTCTTCAGGTTTTGAGCAGCCCTTACATGTATGAACACAGAGGTCTTTGTACCTATCTTTAAAGCAATAGTTCGCCCCCACTTAGAATACTGTGTTCAGGCATGGGCACTATACTATAGAAAGGATATAGCGTACCTGGAGAAGGTGCAATGACTTGCTACCCGATTAGTAGCTGGGCAAAAAGAAAAAGGCTATGAACAGCGATTGAGATACCTAAATCTCTTTTTGCTGGAACGGAGACGACTGCGAGGAGACGTGATAGAGACCTTTGAAGTGGTCAGAGGGCTATTAAGACTCCATGCAGATGACTTGTTTACGGCTTCTCGTGCTCACCGGGGGATCCAAGGAGCTCACCAGTGCAAGAAACTGAACACTGTCAACTGCCGTCGCGATCCTGGATACCAACTGAACTGAACAAATCTGACCGATGTAGGCACTGTAACTAGTGCCAAGGATCTAGGAGTCATATTTACTGTAGATTACAGTTGTGGTGCCCAATGTGAAGCTGCAGCACACACGGCATGACGACAACTGTTTTGACTAATATCAGCAGTTTCGTGTAGAAAAACAAGTATTTATACCCATCTACAAAGGCATCTTAAGGCCTCATCTAGAATACTGTGTTCAGGCTTGGTCGCCCTTTTACAAAAAGGACACGGCCTGTCTGGAGCGGGTCCATAGACTAGCAACACGGATGGTTGAGGGTATGCGGGGAAAAACATACAAAGAGAGGTTGTTCGCGCTCTAGAAAAAAAGAGATTTCGCGGAGACCTCATCGAAGTATTCAAGATTAAGAAAAATTTACTCGGTCTAGATCCTGGGTCCTTCTTCACTGAGGCTCCTCACCAAGGAGCGCGTGGACATGAGCTCAAACTCATGAAACTGCGTTCTAAACTGAACTTACGAACACATTTCTTTGTCAGTAGGGTAGTGGATAATTGGAATAAGCTACCGTTGGAACTGATTATGCAGTCAGGTGCCCAGGCATTTAAAAGATGTTCTAAAAGCCGGATGGTTGGAACCGTTTCCTGACATGGAATGTTAGCTGCGTCAATTGTTTTGCGTAAAATGGCACGCTTCAACAACAAAGGTCTCTCGCCGATAAAAGCAGAAACCGATCAATCGCAGAGATGGATGCACACTCGAGGGCATACCACCGGAGGAAGTCTTGACGAGTGATTAGCCTGTGACCACTATCAGTCCTGTGCAACCTGGCCTGGCCCTTGGCGGTACGTTCGAACTGGTTGCGTGAATTTCGCTCTCTGAATAAACCGTGAATTTTGAAGGTTTTTTGTGTGAAACCAACTGTACTGTGGTTTCACTTCGGTATTATACTCCAATAGGTGTGGTTTTACTGTTTTCGCACTGTTTTTCGGTGTATTCTGTTTTTCGTAAAGATCTTAGCCGTTTCCGATATTTTGTTACCCGAAGTTTGAATTTGTTCAAATTTAGCTCGTGTTTGAGGTATTTTTTGTCCATTTCTCTCGCTGTAAACCTTGCTGTCGATTGCAACATGCCTAGAGCTGCCTTCTCCGGCTTGAGTGAGCAATGTGGAAAGCGGGTAGTTAATGGCATCGAATGTGAGGTTTGTGAGAAACGGGCATACGCAGATTGCTCTGGGATAATACCAGAGAGATATGCCGTTTACTGCAGTGATCCAGGGTTGCAGTGGGTCTGTAAATCATGCCTAGACATAGCTAAAAGAGGATTGCTGGAGACCGTTGCCAACTGGATACCTCAAGAGAAACTATCGGTTATCAGACTAACCAAAAAGCGCAAAAAAATGAGTCCGCCGAAAACATACGTGGATACTGCGAAAGCCAATGCTGACCCCACCATCCGGGGATGCAGTGGGAGTAGCAAAGCTAAGACAGCAGCCATCTCTACTGTACCGCATGTGGTCAGGGCGCCTCTTGCCAAAGCCTTAAAGGTTGGAGCTACTGGCAAAGGCTCGAGTAAACCCAATGGGGTCAAGAAAAACATCCTATATGAACTAGAAGATCAAATAAAGGAGATCAGTGAGCGACTTAGGTCACTGAAAGCAACAGAGGGAGGCCAAACTGTTGTCCATAAGACACTTTTGATCCTCAGCAATGAAGATCCGCTAGCAAAGGAGACGAAAGCTCGTCGGGAAATGGATAGACGCATGGTGCTAGATATCCTAAGGATAGCTGGCATGGAACGTTGTAAACTCAAGAGTTTCCACGGAGTGAGCATATCGGGGGAGGGGACAAAAAATGGTCAGCCCCGAGCGGCTAGACCACTTCTAGTGGAATTTTCCGACCAATCCAGTAGAAATCTACTACTGGCAAACTCTGGGAGAATATTCAACGTAACACGGGGTAGGTACAAAGTAACCCCGGATGTGTGTAGGGGGCTTGGAAGGCAGGGTGTTTCTTGAGCACCCAGACTGCACAGTCACTTGCCGAGTAAATTCGAGGTAAATGGAGGAAACCAATCCTTGAAGACCGGTGGAAATAAGGTTTTACCAATAGTGGTGATCGAGGATGTCATGGAGGACGAGGAGTGGCAGAGCTGTTTGGTCCCAGATACAGCCGAAATCACTGTCATCCATACATCCGGGGTAGCAGCAGACACTTCCCTGAAGAGAACCTCGACCCACATAGAAACCCCTGTAGACTTAAAAATGTCGCTATGGGCATGTAAGGAGGATGAAGGTAGCAAGTCGTCAAAAACGTGCTATCCATTCGGGTGCTGCGCCCGAGACCCAAGACAGGGTGAATAATGGGCAACACATTCCATTCACAGCGAGCTGTCGGTTGCTTGTAACCAACACTTGCAGTATTAGAAATAAGTGGATGGAACTCATTGCAGCAGCATGTGATCTAAATGCAGCTGTAATAGCTGTAACGGAAACATAGCTTAGGGACCCCGATAAGGCACCAGGTTCAGTGTTTGACGGCTTCACCATCCATAGGCAGGATGGACACCACCAGGTGGAGGAGAAGTCTTCCTCATAAGAAAGGACATTGTGCACATGGTTTGCGAAGTTTCAGTGAACCTGCGCAGTGTTCAACTATGTACCGTAACTGTTCTGTTGCCGGAAAATAAGATTAGGATGGCGTGCGTATGCCGGTGTCCCGGGGATGTGACCACAGATGACCGGGCACTGCTTGGCGCACTAGACGTCTTAATTCAGGGGTAAGCAAAGTTATACATTGTTGGTGACTTTAATTTACCTGATATACATTGGATGGCGGTAGGCGCACCCAAGATAGTCAGGAGGAAAGGTATTTAGAGTGGATAAACAACAGGACACTTTTTCAGCACATTTCATCCTGCACGCGGTTTAGAGCCCAGCAGGAAGCAACCCTACTGGATCTTGTATTTTCCAAAAGGGAACAGGATGTAATCGGTGTCACTGAATATCCACCAGTAGGGAAGAGTGATCACCTCCTCATCGGGGTCGATATCCGGATGAAATCACCAGTGCGTAGATTAGGAATATACAGGGATTTTGGTGGAATGAACATCAGTAGGCTTCGGGAATACACTGCACGAATGCAGCGGATTCCCGAGCGATACACTATAGATGTCGAAGAATGCTGGTTGGTAGTCAAGCACAACCTCCTCACCCTCCAGGATCTCCTTGTCCCAAAAAGGTATAGGCGGCCCAAAGGAAAACCTCCATGGTGGCGTGCTACAGTAGCTAAGTCCATTAGGTACCGAAACCGAAGCTGGAGAGCCTATCAACTAGCAGGCACTCATAGGTCTTGGGTGAAATACACACCCCACAGGAATGCAGTGGTTAACCTAGTGAGAGAGGAAAAGAGGTTATTGGAGAGGAAGCTGGCCCAGAAAGTGAAACTGGAGCCAAAGAATCATTACGGGTGCGCCCAGTCAAAGGGCTCCACCAGAGAAGACATGGGCTCACTGGTACTTGAGGGAGATAGGGTCATAACTGAAAACCAGAGTAAAGCTGATGCATTCTGCGCTTACTTTAGCAGCATGCAAAGGCTAGACACTGGTAAGTCAAGTGCTCCCCAACCCTCGGGAACCGATGTAGTGGAGGTACTAAGGGTAACATTCGAACAAGCATCTGAGGTACTAAGCAAACTTAGGGTATCAAAGGTTCCAGGACCAGACGGAATTAGCCCAGCGGTCATCAAGCCGATTGCTGATATAATCGCTGGGCCAAGTGGCAGCCTTTTTGAAGTATCACTAGCTGAAGGGAACTCACCGTCCGACTGGAGAACAGCTTCGGTAGTAGCCATACACAAGGGCGATAAGAAGACAGAGGTAAAGAACTATCGACCTGTTAGCCTAACCAGCGTGCTATGCAAGGTACTAGAGAAGATAGTTAGAACGCACCTAGTAAAGCATCTGGAGCGCAACATACTCATGACAGAGTCACAACGTGGTTTCGTTAAGCAGCGTTTATGTCTAACAAACCTGCTGTGCTTTTTGGAGGATGTTACTGCAAAAATAGATGAGGGTAAAACCGTAGAGGTTTGCCACCTGGATTTCAGCAAGGCATTTCATTCAGTAAATCATCGCCTGCTGTTGACCAAATTAGAACGATTCGGAATCCAAGGACAGTTGCACAGGTGGATAAGTGCCTTTCTCTCACAACGATCATTCTGTCTGACGGTGGGTGAGAAAAGGTCCACACCGGTTCAGCTGACTAGCGGAGTTCCGCAAGGCTCAGTACTAGGACCGCTTCTATTTCTTCTCTATATAAACGACTTACCAAGCACTCTGACATCATCATGCTACATTTTTGCAGATGACGTCAAAGTGGTTGGTTGGAATGGGAAAAGTGATCTGGAGCGGGATTTAGAACAGGTAGCTAGATGGGCAAAGCAATGAGACCTAAGCCTAAACGCCACCAAGAGTCATGTGCTCACAGGTGCGTTTTACGGACTGCACGTTCACTCGGATGAGCACAAGTTCGGTATTGAACCTGCAACTAGGGTAAAGGACTTGGGGGTAGTGGTGTCGAATAATTTTAAGTGGTCTGACCAGTGTGCAGTAGCAGCACGTAAGGCTAGGGGGAATCATACAGACGGTCGGAAGTCTTCATTCCCGTTTACAAAGCCATAGTCAGGCCACATCTAGAGTATTGTGTACAGGCTCTGGCACCCTTACTCAAGAAGGATGCTGCCTGTTTAGAGGAAGTTCAGAGATTGGCCGCCCAGATGGTTGAAGGCCAAAGGGGGAGAACATATAGAGGCTTTAGGGCTTCTCTCATTAGAAAGAAGGAGACTGCTAGTGGACCTGATAGAAACCTTCAAAATCATGAAGAGAATATCGGGGATGGGCGCGGATACTTTCTTCACATTAGCTCAACAACAAGGCACTATGGTGCATGAGCTAAAGCTCATGAAGCAATGATGTCGACTAAACATGCGAAAGCACTTTTTCAGTGATAGGATAGTCGATAGCTGAAACCGGCTTCCTCAGGAAATACTCGACCTTCAAACAGTGCAGGCCTTTAAGACTGCATTTGACAAGCGATGGGTAGAACTATTCCCATCTCTGGCAGTGTAGACAAGTGTAGGTGTGCCAAATGTTAGGATGCCATTTCCCTTTTTCACTGGTGCACTTATTGGACCGCTCACGTCTAACAATACACTCGCCAACTTGGTGAGATGAGATCCTATTTCTCATTTTCATTTCAGCAGTGCTGGGTGCCCACTCAGTGAGCATACCATCGAAGGCATTCTGGACGCTCGATTGGCCGTGTCCATATTCAGTCCATATTCAGGCGGTAAAAGGAATACGTCGAAAAAGAACAAGGGTAAACAAAGCATTAGTGTTAAACCGACAAAGTCGGTGGAAATTAAGTTGAAGACGAAGGGGGAACAAGCTGCTAAGAAGGAAGATAAAGAATCGGGAGTGATTGCCGCTCTAATTTCG